TTAAAAAAAAATTAGATTTAAAATAAATATTAGTTAAATATTAAAGAGAAGAAGTAATTTTTAAACAGCCTGTGTGTTCCTCAGTGACCCAACCAGGTATGTTTAAATAAGACACTGCTGGAAATTTTCGATTTTTACCATCCTAGGTATTTTTTAAAACGTTTTTTTGTACAGGGCAAGCAGATGTATTTTTCTGCTCTCTTAAGAGATATTAATTTTAGCAGGTTTCCTCAAGTTAGTGGTGTGGAAGAAAGAAAGAAGCCGGAGAAGGAGGTGGTGGCTGCAGGACTAGGGTGATTTCCAGGAGCAGAGATCCTGGTTGCTGCCTGCTGGGCTGGTGCCACATCCAGCCACCTCCAGAGAAGCTGCCATCTTTTCTGTGTGCCAGGCTTGGAAAGCCCATGTCCTTGTGGTGTAGAGACAAAGCCTTTGCATGAGGAGGAGGATGTGGTTGCTGTATTTCAGCCTCTGCACATCCCTGAGATGTGCCCACCAGGCTGGGGGTGAAGACCGAGGGGCCACCAGCTCTCCTTGCAACGCAGGAGACATGTGGAGGAGAAGTTAATGAAGAACCTTCCGTGCAGCATGTGTTGGATGAGGAGAAGCTTTCATGGAAGGTCCTTCATGTCCTGGGCAGGGTGAGAGGCTTGGATCGAGGGACAGAGCGTGAGGGTGCTTCCTGGGGTGCAATAACAGACCAAGAGGGAAAAATGGGATTCAAATGTTTGGGTTGAAGCAACAACAGTAGCACCATCCTCTGCAGCTGAGGGGTGAACATTTTTGGGTCAAAACCTAAGGGAACATGACTCTCAAGAAAGCAACTTCCAGTCCACATACGAGGAGGTGATGAGTGGTGGAAAAAAATCTCATCTTTGGTGGCAACAAAATTCCAAGTCCTGTTGAGCTGTGAGGGAAACAAGAGGGTGCCAGACATGCTGGGAGCATTTTGACATCTACAGGATGGAGGCCTGAAGGCGGGTGAGCTTGCGGCATTGGGAAATTCTGGGTATGGCCTCTCTCCTTCTCCTGAGAGGCTACCCCTCCAGGAGCTTCCCTACCAAATCCAGCTGTCCTGAAAACCCCTCCCTCACCCCATGTGCTGAGGGGAAAGAATGATGCTGAGGCCAACCAGCCCTTGCCCTGGGTGGCTGGTGGTAGCTGAGAGTGAGAAGCTGAGAGAGAGGAACCCTGAGCTGATGATCCTTAATGTGCCCTGTAGCCGTGTCACTGATTTTATGGAGTTATCCCGAGATTCTCCCTTTCTGAGCTTTTTGTTACTCCAAAGGAGCAAAAAGCTCCATGGAGATGAGTGAGGTTGATGAGTTTGACCTAAGTCAAACCCAGGATGCACCTACCTCATGAGCCCTTGTCAGCCCCAACCCGAGGGGTGATTTGGGGTGAGTATAACACAGAGTGTACCCCCCACCTCGGGGAGAAGCCGGGCGTGCCGGAGCCATTTCGGGGGAAATCCCCGTCCTGGGGGGGGTGTGTGTGCAGCAGCACCCGCATGGACACAGCCGAGGTGCCCCCGGGGTGTCATCCCCGCTGCCGCCCCCTCGTCCCCGCGCGTCCCGGGGGCAGCCGGCGACAGAGGGCGCCCCGGCACCGCTGTTAGGGCGCGACAGGGGGCGTGGGGGGGCCCGGCGCCCCGCGGGCACGGGCACCGCACCCCCCCTCCCTTTTGCGGGGCATCCTCCATCCGGGCGGG